TAGACCTAAAGTGTTCCCCCACTTTTACTTCAGTCACCTGCCCTGCTTTATTGCCCAAAAGAAAGTCTAGTTTTGCTCCTTCTCTAGGAGGAGCATACAAATATTCATGAAGAAAATTTTCTTGAACACATTTGACAAATTCTTCACTATCCAAACCTTTAACACTATGGCAGCCCCAGTCAATGTCTGGAAAACTAAAATACCCCATTATTACAACCTTATCATGCTCACATATATCAGAGATGTCCCTACATATTTGTTTCTCAATTTCCCTCTTATTATTGGAGGGCCTGTAGTACAATCCCATCAAAGTGATCTTTGCTTTCTTATTTGTAATTTCTACCCGTATATTTTCACTAGACGATTTTTCAGAAATATATTCCCCAGTTACAGCAATAATGTACTCCTTAATCAAAAATGCCAACCCTTCGTTTCTTGCCTCCTTTACTATCCTTCCTACAGCATCTAAAACCCGGAACATTGAGCTGCTAGTCTTGTCCATCTCTCAGCCAAGTTTCTGAAATAGCTATTACGTCCCAATCCCACGTTCTTAAACACGCCCTGAGTTCATCAGCCTTAGGCGAGCTGTCCCACAAACTAGTCAAACAGCAGATTGCCATAGTCATAGTTATTCAATCATACCTTATAACTAATCAGCTTTAGCTGTTAAGATCCCTTGCATTGAAATAAATGCAATTTAGATCTTCAGAGTTACTACTACTCTGAATCTCTCTTCTTTCTTTTCTAATTGACGTGGTCTTCTCACTTTCAGAACCTTCCTCATCAATCCTTCTGTTTACACTGCTATTTAGAATTCCTCCACTCCCCCTCTCGATCAGAACAAAGTCACCCTTAACAGAATGAGCAAATCTCCCTGCTAAGGACTAGTCCCTTTCCAGTTTAGGTTAGGCCCATCCTTTTTGAACAGGTCTTTTCTATCCCAAAAGACATTCCAATTGTCCCTGAGCAATACACCAGCTCTTTCAGCCACTGAGTTATCTCCTTTAACATCCTGTTCCCTCCCTCGTTTGAGTTTGGCATTGGAAGTAAGCCAGAAATTACTACTTTCAAGGTTCTATTTTTCAATCATCTACCTAACCTCTTAAATTCACTCTGTACTGCTTTAATGTCTTCCCTAAAATGTCACTCCTACCAATGTGTACAATAATTTCTGGCTTCTCAATCTCACTTTGATACACTTGAAAAGTTTAGAGATGTCCTTAATCTGAGTGCTAGAACAGCAACAAACCATCCTAAATTTACACTCACTGCCACAGAATCTCCTGTTGATGCCCGTGACAAGAGAATCCCGTTGAACAATAATTCTGTTAAATCTTGTCAAAGGATGCTTAACGTAAGAATCATTCCAAATATCTGATAACAAACTGACCCTTCCATTTTCCTTGGAGAGACTATCCCCTTCTACAGTTCCAAAAACTGAATATTTGATAGAGGAATAGCCACCTTTGAACTAGCTTCTTACCTGGTCCGACACTCACCCATCTATCTGACTGATCATGCTGTGTAATAACTTTTCTAAATCTACTAGCTATCTCACTCCGTACCTCATATATGCCCTTAATAACAGTAAGCCTAAAAAAACGTCAATAACACCATATATAAAAAATAAACTACCTTTCATTACCTACAGAAAATAATGTTAAAATGGAAAAAAATTTTAAAAATATATATCAAACATACAGAACTTTAAAAAATCAACTACTTAGCGGATTAACTGAATAAAAAATGATTCCGCTTCAATAAATTCTTCGAAGAAAAAAAAACTTCTCCAGAGCCAACCATGTGTAGGACCACTCAGAATGAAAACACAACTCCTTATTTTAAAAAAAAGTTCAATTTTTCAAGAAGAAACACACCTTGACAATGGGAAAAAAACCTCTAAAGACCTTTGCAATGTGAAAAAACCCCTCTAAAACCCATATTGACTTTTTCAACTATTGAATATAGAATAAAAAAAACTCAGTTCACTGTCGACCTTTAAAAGCTCGTTCAAAAAAAAGTCCATTTGAATAAAATTCTGATTTTTTTTGTTTGTTTTTCTGTGTTTTGAATGTTAATGAAACAAAGTAAATAAAAATCTTATATTAGTAAAATATAATGACTGTAATAACTATAAAAAATATCTTTAACTAAGCCTGCAATCCCAGGAGCAGCTGCAAGATCCACACTGCACATGCTTCCTCTCTATACTCCTGGGCTTGTCCTGCAAATGGGATTAACCCAGCAAAGACAGCAGGACAGTAGCACAGTGGGATACAGTCCAGAGGGAAACACCAAAAGGAGTCCTTCACACTGAGTCAGGATTCTACAAAGCCTTGAGTCTGAAATCAAACCAGACAAGGAGACCTCCTGCTGATTACTCCCTACAGCCCTCCTATAGCTGTTCCTCAATGTTGTATACCACTGAGGGTAACAAAGGGGCAAAATGTTCTCTGGGTCCAGGATTTCACTCTCCATAACCAAAAACTGCCGCTGGAATCACTATTGTCAGATTTGGCCCAGTCCTGAAGAATTTATCTGTCTGACGGGGTGGTAGGGATCCAAAAAGAAGCCAAAACTGACTGAACCTCATCCTCACCAATCGATCAGTTGCAGGCACATCCGTTGGTCACCGTATCGGTAAGAGTGCCCATCACATACTCCTTGTGGAGACTGGGTTCCTTCATCACACCCAGATACCCTCCACTGTGTCGTGTGGCAGAACCATCTTACTCAGCTGCATGCATAACAGGTCATTAAGCAACAGAAGTTTGGGTATCCATGAGATGCTGTGGGCCATCAACAGCTGCAGAATCATATTCCAAAACAATCTGCAACCTTATGGCCCAGCATAACCCCACTCAACTATTACCATTAAGCTAGGGGATCATGGAGGACACGTCAGGAGCAATACCAGGCATATCTAAAAATGAGGAACCAACCTGGTGATGCTAGAAAGAAAGATAACATGTATATTAAATATTGGAGGAAATGTATTATAAATAAAGCTATGGGACCCCGCAACCAATGCATCAGACCTAAGCTCTGAAGCTCTGCCAATTCAATTCATTCCATGTGATATCAGCAAATGGTTTGAGGTACTGAATACTGCAAATGCTATGGACCTTGACAACATTCCAGCAATAGTACTGAAGACTTGTGCTCGAACTTGCTGCTGCCCTAGTGTTGTAACCATACTGTTATCTACCTGACAATCGGGACAATTGCCCAGGTATGTGTCCTGTACAGAAAAAGAAGGACAAATCCAACCAATTACTGCCTCATCAGTCCACTCGATCATCCACAAAGAAATGGAAGGTGTAAGTGAAAGTGCTACCAAGCAATAACATATGAAAGAGGAGCAGTAGACCATTCAGCCCCTCCAGCCCGCTCCACCATAAGATCTATAAGATTGGGTCTGATCTGTTTGTGTTTTTAATTCCAAATTCCTATCTATCCTAATAAGCTTACCTTCCCCCACCTAACAAGAATCTGTTCACCTCTGTATTAGAAATAAAAAATGACCTTCCCAGCCGCTGAAGAATGTTGTAAATTCCTCAGCGTTATCTTTTACAGAGGTGAACCTGCTCTTCCAGTTAAACATTTAGTTGTCCATTACGATTCATGACTGGATGTGGCATTACTGCAGATCTTTGAATACCTGCTCACAGTAACTCAGTTTGCGTTCTGCCAGACCCCTCAGCTCCTGACCTCATTGCAGACTTGAATTAGAAATGGGTAACATTTGACCAAATGTTGTATCAAGGAGCTCGAACAAAATTAGAGCCAATGGGATTGGGGTAAAACTCTCCACTGGTGGGAGTCGTACCTGGCACACAGGAAGATGGTCATGGTTGTTGAAAGTCAGTCATCTCAGCTCCAGCACTTCTCTGCAGGAGTTCCTCAGGGGAGAGTCCTAGGTCCAACCATCTTCAGCTGCTTCATCAATGACTTTCCCTCCATCATAAGGTCAGAAGTGGGAATATTCACTGATGCTTGCACAATGTTCAGCACCATTCACGACTTCTCAGATCCTGTAAGCAGTTCATGTTCAAATGCAACAAGATATGGACAATATCCAGACTTTGGCTGACAAATGACAAGCAATACTCATGCCACACAAATGCCAGGAAATGATCATCTTCAATAAGAGACAATCTAACCACTACCCCACTACATTCAATAGTGTTATAATCACTGAATCCCCCATAATCAACATTCTGGGGAGTTACCATTGATCTGAAAGTGAACTGGATTCACCACATAAATGTAGCGAAAAGAGCAAGTCAAAGGGTAGGAATTCTGCAGTAAGTAATTCACCTCCTGACTCCCCAAAGCCTATCCACCATCTATAATGTACAAGTCATGAGTGATATGATGATAGAATATTCCTCACTTGTCTGGATGGGTGCAGCTCCAAAAACACTCAAGGAGCTTGACACTAGCCAAGATAAAGCAGCCCATTTAATTGGTACCACATCCACAAACATCCACTCCCTCCAGCACCAACACTCAGCAGAAGCAGTGTGTACTAACTAAAGATGGACTGCAGAAATTCAATAACACTCTTTTAGCAGCATCTTCCAAACCCACACCACCTCCAACTAGAAGGGCAAGGGCAGCAGATACATGGGTACATCACTATCTGCAAGCTCCCCTGCAAGCCACTCACCATCCTGACTTGGAAATATATCGCTGTTCCTTTCAAGTCGCAGGGTCAAAATCCTGGAATTTCCTCCCTAATGGCATTGTGGGTCTATAGCACATGGACTGCAGAGGTTCAAGAATGCAGCTCACCATCACCTTCTCAAGGGCAACTAGGAATGGACAATAAATACTAGCCAGCCAACAATGTCCAAGTCTCATGAACAAGAAAGCTTCTGCAGTTTCCCTGCTTGACTGAAGTCCCTCAACCCACGTACAGTACTACACTAGTCATCTCATGTCTGTTATTAATGGAGAACACCTTGAAAGAAGTAGTAACATGGGTGTCTACTAACCTGGTTACTTCCATGGAGAAAGTCATTCAGGGCTTGAGGGTCACTGCAGCACAGAACAGAAGATAATTTTAAATATTGTGGTGTCATTGGAGGAAGCCTATCATGAAATATGTAGGCGAGGAGGAAAACATGACAGAAAAATTATGATCAATGATATGAGGTTCGCTGACGGATTGGTCGCTCATAGTACTAATGTGCACAATGTGGAGGACATGCACTCAGTTCCCAGCTCCACAGCTTGGGAGTGATATCCTGGTCATCAACCTGTCACTGTGCATCACTATCAATCCAGAATGATACAGATGTCCACAAGGTTACGCTATTTACAGACTTTGACTTGTTTAGAAGACTAAGGAGTGACCTGATTGCTGTGTTTAAAATGATAAAAACAATCTGATTGGGTAGATATAAATAAATCATTCTCCCTGCTTGGAGAGTGCAGAGTGAGGAGCATGTTCTCAGAAATTTCAGTTGGGCTATGATTCTGTAAAGGGAAGGCAGTATCTGACAATCTTTTTTTTTTTACATTCATTCACGGGATTAGGGCGTTGCGGGCTAAGCCAGCATTTATTGTCCATCCCTAATTTCCTACAGGCAGTTGAGAGTCAACCACATTGCTGTGGGTCTGGAGTCACATGTGGGCCAGACCAGGTAAGGACAGCAGATTGCCCCCCTAAAGGGAACATTAAGGAGCTAGATGGGTTTTTCCAACAATCAACAATGGGTCATGTCATTGTTAGACTCTTAATTCCAGATTTTTATTGAATTCAAATTCTACCATCTGCTGTGGCAGAATCCAAACCTGGGTCCCTAGAACATTACCTGGATTAACAGTGCAGCAATAGTACCACTAGGCCATTGCCTTCCCCATATAAATTTCCAAATATTGTAAAGGGTCATTGAAATTGGCATTTCATAAAGTCCTTCAAAAAAGACTTGCCTTTAGAAAGCCTAAAGGCAAATTATTTGAACAGGTTAGAAAGCATGTCTCTTAATCGGCAAGTTCAGAGTGTCCCACAATGATGTGTGCTGGAGCCTCTTCTATTTAATATATTTATATGTGATTTAGAAGATGGGCTCAAAAGCTGCCATATCCAAATTTGGCATGGAGTCAGAAAGATGAAGCATTGTAATCCGTGTCGACAGAAGTGTAAATTTACTCAGACAGATTGCTCGGAAGGTTGAATGGGGAAAACTACTGATAGATTTCAACTCAGGCAACTGCGACATATCCATTTTAGATTTAGAGGACTAGAATATAAGGGAGCAGTGGTCACATTCAAACTACACAAAGCCCTGGTCAATGTAGACAGCTCTGGGATTAGCGGATGGGATTAAGGTACACAGCACTATGATCTAAAATGAATGGTGAACAGCCTTGAGGGGTTGAATGGTCTAACAGGCTTGAGGGATTGAATGGATGAACAGCTCAAAGGGGCTGAATGGCCTCCTTCTGTTCCAATGTCCTTTGTTTCTATTTTATAATGCCCTGTAACGGCATCCATTCATTTGCTCCGAGTATAGATTCAGTTTCTTTCCTTAGTCCCAGCTGCTGATTTAATTAACCCAATGGATTTATAGTGTTGGAAATTGTGTTTCTGAATCATTTACAAGCAGCAGGGATCGAAAATGGGATTCTAACGTTTTAAAATGTAATTCTATCTTCTTAAGTACATCACCTCAACAAAAAGATCTTAAAACACATTGAACGTAACAGATTCTTGAGTTACCTTTTTGATAAAACCTGTTTAACAATTAAGCAAACTCACCAAATAACATCTAGCAGACACCTTCCTTCTTCATCATCCATGACAGCTGCAGAGAAGGGTACAATATTTAATTCATGGAAAGAATAACTGTTTATATCCTCCAACATATTGAATCATGTACTTTGTGAAGTTACTCAATTAGACATTTATAGCCATATATTGTAAATAGACATACATCCTTTTTTAAAAAAAGTTCAATATCAGGTTCAGGGATAGCACAAAATGGAATGTGTTGCAAAGTTGGGTCTGTACAGTGGAGGAGACAGATTCAACACACAAGAAGACAAACAGCTCTTCCACCAAGCCAGCCCCATACTTCTGATAACCAAAGCAATAGAACTAAATACTTCCTCATCCCCCTTCTTCACAAGCATGTTATCGCTGGAGGAACAAATAAAACAGAGAGAAAAGCTCAGGCAAATAACTACTCCAGGAAAATTCTCTCCAATCTCTCGGCTGACTGAAATCAGTCCAGTGCACTGTACACTGTTCCACACATTCCAAGATGGACACAAACCTGTGCTGGTTTAGCTACTCTCCGGTTTGTACTCATAGTAAGGGGTTCAACAGTCTTCCTGCACGAAGAAGGAAGGATACAATTTCAGCCATTCCCCTTTTTCCTGTAAGCCTGATGTAAAGCACGAACCTACACAAAATTGCAGTGGCTTGTTGTGGCCTAGAGTGGGTTGCATAATAAAACTTTCAAAACAGAATCATAAAATAGGTTGAAGGGAAAAGAATTTGTAGGGTTACGGGGAAAGAGCACGGATGCGAGAGTCAATGGTCATCAGTTTCAAAGATCCAACCTCAGGAATAATGAGCTGAAATACCCATTTCTGTGTTCTTTGATCCAATAAGGTAATTTGTCCATGATAAACAGTCACCGGACTCGAAACATTAACAGCTTTCTCTCTTCACAAATGCTGCCAGACCTGCTGAGTTTCCCCATCACTTTCTGTTTTTGTTTCAGATTTCCAGCATTTGCAGTTCTTTGTTTTAGTTTGAATTTTTTAACGGGGATATGAGATCCTATCTGAAATGCAATGCCTGAGAAGGGCCAGGGTTTTATTCCATCATAACTTACGAAAGGCAATTGAAAATGAAAACTTGCAGGGCTCTAGGAAAAGGTCAAAAGGAATATTATCCTGTGGATAATTTCAGCACGGTCACCATGCTAAATGGCCTCCTTCAGTGTTGTATCAGTCTTCACTTCATTCCCAATTATTTGAATAAGGGAAGGTGGGAAAGAACAAAAGAACCAATTAGCTGGACTCCTGTCCAATGTGGTCATGTTCTGATTCACCTACGAAATACACTGCTATGACCATTTCAAAACTGTCCTCCATCTATTAATACCTAACAATCTTCACTGAACACCCTGTACCATCTGAACAATGAGATAAAAAATACTCACATCATTCAGTTGCCGCCCCATCCGATGTACAGCAGCCCTGGGAAAGCTTCCCCACAGCACGGTCCTGCCAGCACGGTCTTCAACAAGACATCCTCTGTCTGGGCTCTATCCACACCCTGCTCATAAAGTTCACTGAATGACCATAAAGCATCTTCAAGTGGAGGCTCAAGACGTTTCGTTCTCTGCTTCTATGTAAACAATTACAAATAATAACAAAACAATTTCTGTCCTTCTTACATAGATTCTGTCACAGATTGTAAAAAGTCTTCTTCCAAAACGTGACATTGAAATGGTGAAAACAATCATCAGAACAGGTCTGTTCTTTTTACAGGGTCAAATACTGCACCCCCTGCCTGTCCAGGATTCTTATCACATTGAGATCTTACCCCCGCTCCTCTAACTCTCTTTATTCCATGACCTTGTTAAAATTTATCTCTTAGAATCTTCACTTTTACAATGTACAAACTGTTAACATTCATTGTTGCAACATCTGTCAGTCTTTGGATTAGCCCCTTCTCTATTCAGACAAAAACTAAACGAAAGGATTGAAAGTTTAAGGTTGACATTTGCCAGATTTAAGTTAGGTCACTTCAATAAATTGCATTTATATAGCACCTTTAGCTTTGTAAGATGAAAAGCTTCAATAAAGGCCATCTTTAACTTTAGCTTCATGAGAATGTTATCCAACAAAATGTAACGTTGAGCCAAAGGAAAAGATAGCAGGTCAGAAAACCAAAGGCTTAAGTTTTTAAGGAGCTTCTTAAAAAGGAGAGGGAGGTAGATGTGGATGAGTTAGGAATAAAACGTCAGATCATGTAGCCTTGGCTACTGAAGGTCATTAAATAGTGAGACGAAGACAATGGGAAGTGTAATAGAGGTTAAGGCTGGAGGAATGCAAAGCTCTCAGATAATTGTTGAGCTGGGGAAAGCTACAAAAGATAAAGTGGCTGTGGTAATTAAGAGATTTGGAAATATTTCAATAAAGGACGTCTAGAAAAATGTTTTTGTTTTGTGAGGAGGTAGGCGATGGCCTAGTGGTATTATCACCGGACTGTTAATCCAAAGACCTAGATAATGTTCTGGGGACCCAGGTTCAAATCCCACCATGGTAGACGGTGGAATCTGAATTCAACAAAAATCTGGAATTAAGAATCTAATGATGACCATGAATCCATTGCCGATTGTTGGAAAAACCCATCTGGTTCACTAATGTCCCTTTAGGGAAGCAAACTGCCATCCTTACCTGATCTGGCCTACATGTGACTTCAGACCCACAGCAATGTTGCTGACTCCAAACTGCACTCTGGATAATTAGGGATGGGCAATAAATGCTGCCTATTTAATGATGCCCTCATCCCAGTAATGAATAAAAGAATAAGTTAGTTTGAAAGCTTTTGGTAATTCCTGAAAGATTGTCAAATCATTATTTCTTCAGATTGAAGAAACTATAAATAGAGATTATTAATCTGAAAGTCTATTCAAGAGCAGGTTACATTGTCATGGAGATGGGTGGAAAGAGGTTCTGCTGTTTCAATTAACTTAGTATTTTCTAAGAGTTCATTGCAGCTTGGACCTGATGGGTACTGTTCGTGGCTCACCGACAGAAGACAGTCAGAGGTCTGCGGCCTGCACTATAAACAGATAAAAGTCCATCTTCACCATTTGCTATGTGGATCACAGGCAAGGCTTACTCTCAGTTTGGATTTCATGAGAGAATGAATGAAGAATGAATCAACAGTTTTCCTCATGGAGTCATGTGGCAAGTGTTGGCACTCTACCCACTCATCCACTTGCCTACCTACCCCCTTACCCAACTGCCTCCCTACCCACTCACCAACCTGCTTCTCTATGCCCTCACCCACCTGCCTCCCTTACCCTTCACCCCCCTGCCTTCCTAACCCCTCACTAATCTGCCTCCTTACTCTTCCCTGCATCCTTACCAACCTGCTTCCCGACCCTTTCATCGATCTGCCTCCTTATCCTTCCCTGCCCCTCACTCACTTGCCTCCATTTCTCCTCACCCGCCTGCATCCCTACCCCCTCACTGACCTTACACATTTATCTTCCCTCAGTGGTTGAGAAAGAGGTTCAGGACCTTCAATCCTGGATCAGACCAGGAGTTGTATTGAGTAACAGGGTGTAGCTTCAAAGCTGACCACCTGACTGGTGGGCTGTTGGGCTTCCTGATTGGAACCAAGCAGTTTCAGGATAGCTCCTGGGTTGGTTGCTCACATGGAGAACTCCTCCAAGAGTAAGTGTGTACTTTATTGTCCATTTGCGATTGGATATTGGTTTTTCTGATCCTGATCAGAGGTTCCGGACCAGTACTTTCGATGATCTATGATATACTGCCTGAGATTTTACCAGAAGAAGATTCAGTAGCAACTTCCAAGTGGAAATTGGATAAATATTTAAAAACAAGTAACTGCAGGGTAGTGGAGCAAAAGCACAGAGTGGAATTAATTGCATTGCTTTTTCAAAGGAGCTGGCACAGGCTGAATGGTCTCTGTTTGGAATGAGTTTATGAGGAATCCTACCAGCCAATCCACTGTGGAGGGGGAGGAACCAAATCAGTGATGGTTGTACAAAAGCTATAATAAACCATAACTACACAGCTATTACCTATGAACAGGACATCCATGATGTTGTAAGCTCTCAAGTAAGCTTATAGCCACTCTCTGGGTAAGGATAAACACACAACCCAAAGAGACCATATATTTGAAGGTGACAGGACAGGCCGTGAAAAAACTATACAGGTTCTCTGACTTTATAGAGGAGCATACAGTCCAAAAGCAAGAAAGTTAAGGCAACAAACGTAGCAAGTACAACATCATAGCAATTGGAGCTATGAAATCTTTGCAGCATCATAACAACTGCAGCAAAGTAACCATCATAGTGACTACAGCAACTCGACCACTGCAGCATCAGAATGATTGCAGTAACATAGCCACTGCAGCAATGAAACTACTGTAGCAACAATCACTTTCATCTGGAGTGTTGTACCCACTTCTGCGAACTGCATTTCAGGGTGGATGTGAAGATATTAGAGAGAGTGTGCAGAGGAGACTGACCAGGGTTCAGGGACCTCAGGCATGTGGACAGACTGCAGAATCTAGGGTTATTCATCTCACAGTGGAGAAGGGTGGCTAGCGCAACTCATTCTGAGCTGTTTGTGATTGACATTTGTACATACATACTTTAAAATAAGCAAATTCATTTATGCCACAAAATGAAAGTCAGAATGGTTCCTTGTGTGAGCAGTAAACAGGTTAAACTTAAAGTCTCAAATGCCCACTCATTTTAACTCTGCGTATGCCTGCTGTACGAAGCCAGTCATAGAGAAAAAGGGGGCAAGAGAAATTGTAGGCAACTGTATAACTGATCCAGCCCATTTAATGCATAGAGGGATGAAAAAGCAAGATGTTATGTGTTAATGACTGCAGAAAACTATGTATCATAAATAGGAAGCAATTTCAACTGCTCGTAGCAGACAGCCCATCATTCTCCAATTGGAAAGTAGCCTCAAGAGAAAACGCTCCTTAAGTGTAGTGAATTACAGTAACCCATATTCAAGTTATGCAACCATTATAAATGTTATCCTTGATTGGGCAGATCTATAATTACTGTCACTTTTCAGAGTCACTCTTCATGTAATCTCTAAAACACTTCCGAGTCTCTGTCACATCATAAACTGTGGAGGTGACAGTGTTGGACTGGGGTGGGCAAAGTCAGAAGTCACACGACACCAAGTTATAGTCCAACAGGTGTATTTGAAATCACAAGCTTTTGGAGCATAGCCCCTTCATTATGTGAAGTCGCCTGATGAAGGAGCTACCCTCTGAAAGCTTTGATTTTAAATAAACTTGTTCGACTATAACCTGGTGTCGTGTGACTTCTGACTTTGTATACCATATACTGTACAAGCTATTCAGTCAAAGGGTTCACATTTACAATCACAGTGTGGTAGCTGCTAGATACAACCACTGCAGGACATGCCGGTAACGTGCTATCAATAACACAAATGTTTGATAGAATATGGAATGGAATAAAGTTAACAAACAGTTCATGGAATAAAGTTAACAAACAACTCCAAGTAGGATTTGAGTCAACGAGTCACACTGCATTGGATCAGACCCTTCAGTCTAGCTCATCCATGCCGACTAGGTTTTCCAAACTAAACGAGTCCCATTTGCCTGTGTGGGCGGCATGAACCGGACTGTCACCCGCCTCTTGAGACTGGAGCATCTGGTAAGAAATTCATCCTCTTCTTCAGGGGGTAAAGGCATTGAGACTGCAACATCTGCTATGTCCATCTTGACTCTGAGGTTTCTTCAAAGCTGGATGGAAGAAAACAGTCCATGGTTCTGACAGCCTTTCCAGCTGTTGACGGCCTGGGTATGTTTTGCTCCTCCCCATTTCTGAACTTGGAGCTTTCACATGGTCCACATGATTGTTCATGACTGCCTCAACTATCCAAACTTTGTACATCACCAGACCTGATCTCACGTCGATCATACTTCTTAGCCATGCAGGGACATTTCAGTGGTTTCGCCACAAAACTTTGTCCCCTGAATTAAAGTGTCTTTCTCACTTAGAAGAGTATTATGTCTGGCATTGGCGTTCCTGATACTGTTTCACCCTCTCTGCTCAGGTCTGAGAAGATCAGATTTAACCTGTGCAGAGTCTTCTCACCACGTGAAACTCTGCTGAAGCTATCTCTGTAGTTGCATGAGGGGTGGTCTGATAATTAAACAAGAACCAGGACAATGAAGCTGTAGGCTGTTTCTTTAAGCCTGCCTTCAAAGCCTGAACTGCTCTTTTCGCCAGACCATTGGATGGTGGTGATATGGAGTTGTCCTTATATGCCGAATGCAATTCAACTTTAGGAAATACTCAAATTCCCCACTGGTAAACTATGGCCCACTGTCTGTGACCAACATCTCCTGGGGCCAATGTATTGCAAAAGATGCTTGTGGCTTTTTTATCATTGTCCCAGTGTTTGATGAAGGAAGTCTACGCACATCCAACCAATGACTAAGAACATTGAGCCCATGAAAGGGCTGGCATAGTTGACATGTAACTGAGTGCAGGGTTTACCTGGCCATTCCCACGAACGTGGGGGACCTTCTGGCGGTAATTTTTATCCTTGTTGATACTCTGGGCACTGCCCAATGGGGCTATGTCTGCATCTAATCCTGGTCATAAGACATTACTTCTCACCAATATCTTCATTTCGGAAATCCCTGCATGACCCTGCTAGTGTTCAGCCAGGATCTGGCAGAGATCTTTGCTCGGAACAATCACTCTTGCTCCTCTTAGTAAAATGCCAGAAGGTTTCAATTCTGGTTGTGATGGCCCCTTTGCTTCCCCCATCACCACCAGCTGTTTTAGTTTTGCCAGGACAAGATCTTTTTGCTTCCACAGCCTGATATTATCAGCAGTGACTGGAAGGATGTCCAGAAAGTTTAAAACCAGTACAGACTCTTCCAGTGATGCCACTACAAGTGGTATCTGTCCATGGGAGGTGACTTAAGGCATTTGCTACTTGGCCTCCTGGACGGTGTTCCAACAGATAACTGTACACACTTAGAATGACACCCCACTGCTGAATTTGACCCAAAGCTATGGGTGGCATGGCCTTATTCTCTTTGAGTAGTCCTAGCAAGGGGTTGTGGTCTGTAACTATTACAAATTTATGTCTATAAAGGTATTGGTGGAACTTTCTCACACCAAAGATAACCGGCAACCCTTCCTTTTCTATCTGGGCACATTTGCACTCTGCATCAGCCAATGTCGAAGCAGCATATGCTATTGGGCTTTCCTCTCCATTTGGCCATGTGTGAGCCAACGATACTCTGATACTGTATGGGGAGGCATTGCATGTCAGCACCAGATCTCACTTGAGATCATAGTGTGCCAACAGTTTAGATGATGATTGCTGCTTTTTCACTTCCCTAAAGGCTACATCTTGGCTTTGAGACCATTTCCAAGCTGATCCTTTTTCAATAGCAGATGGAAAGTTGCCAGGATGGAGGCAAGGTTACGTAAGAACTTTTCATAATAATTCACCAATCCAAGGAAAGGCCTAAGCTCCAGTTCAGACATGGCAGCTGGGGCATCTTTGATCACCCTCACTTTATCTTCCAACGGGTGTTTCCTGGTCTTGTCAACTCTGTAGCCCAAGTAGGTCACTTGGCGTGCCTGGAACACACATTCTTTGCCTTGTAAGGCATATGCCCACATTGGACAAACATTTAAGCACTGTGTCTAAGGTCTCTAAATGCTCTTTATTGGTTTTCCCTGCTGTTAGCACATCATCCAGATAAAAAGTGACCTGGGGTCGACCTTGTAAAAATTCTCCATTATCCATTTAAAAATGGCACAGTCTGATGAAACCCCAGATGGCAGTCTCGTATATTGGTACAAATCCTATGGGATATTACTTGTAGCGCATGTCTGGGAATCCTTATCCAACCGGAAATGCAAGGACATGTGGCATATGTCCAGCTTTGTGATGGACAGCACCCCTCCCTAACCAGCTTTGTCTATAAGTCCTTTATGTGAGGGATTGGGTATTTATCCAGCTGCAAGAAGTATTTTACCATCTGTTTAAAATCCCCACAGAAGCAAACCAACCAATTGGGCTTCAAAATCAGTACCGACAGTACTGTCCATTCTGCAAACTGTACTGGTTTGATGATTCCTTTGCTTGACAGCCTCCTCATTTTTGCTTCTACTTTTGCAGGTAAAGCAAATGGAACTAGGTGGGCCTTGCAGAATCATGGAATTGTTGCCTGGTCAACATGTAAGGTGGCCTTGGCTCCTCTGATAGTCCCTAAATCTTCCTGAAAAACTTCCAGGTATTTAATTAGGTCTTCACGTAGGCAGCCATTTTCTAACTCAAAAATGTTGAGCCAATCAAGATGAATCCTTCTTAAATAATTTCACCCCATCAGGGTTGGGTCCAAGCTACAGATCACATCAGTAGCCCAGTGACCTCTGCCTTGAAGTATGTGAGGAGTGGCCATCAAGGACTGAACAGCAGCTGACAGTTTCCAGAGCCATGAGCTCGGTGGAGTTCCTCACAGCCTTCAGAAAATGACAGGAGAAAAGGAAATGAAAAACAGTTCAGTCCTCCAGAGAAGGAAGAACTTGCATTTACATAGCACCTGTCAGGAAACTGGAATGTCCCAGCCGCTTTGAAGTTAATCAAGAGGAGATTGTTACGATATAAGAAACAGGGTAGCCAGCATGTGCACAGCAAGCTCCCACAAATTGCACTAAATATTAAAAAAAACCCAAATAAGCAAGTGCTGCAGATAGAACAAAAACAGAAATTGCTGGGAAAACTTTTTCCAGCAATTTCTATTTTGAGCTAAATATTCAGATCATATCTTTTCTCTCCCCCATCCAGAGTTCTTGGTTGTTTGAACAAACATTCACAAGGACACCAGGGAGAATAACCCAACCGGTTTAGTTCCATGTCTGACAAATGAAGCATCCCTTCATTAACCTTCTGCCATCTCAGATTTGACTATGTGCTCAAGCCTCTAAAATGGAGTATTCAGTTCAGAGAGTGGCTGCTGTCAGTGAGCCATACTTTTCCATGTGCTGGAAACCCATGGACTCACCCTGGGTCAGGACATCAGGTGAGGTCAGGAGCAGGTCTGTTCCCTAAACTGGCAGTGACTGAAAAGATTAGCTGGAGCAAAACACCACGTAGGCCTTGAAAGCCGAGATGTCCTATCCGAATCCAGTCTCTGCACTCAGTGGGGCAGTGAGGGCCAGTGGTTGAATATGTGAGGTATAAAATTTCCGTATTAAAATGCACTTTAGATTTTATTCAGAACTGTTCAATTGCTGTCATCCATTGTGTTACTTTACTGCATTACAGTGAGCTGACCCCTTTTGTGTGGTAATGCATCCTGAAGAGCTAGCATATCTGATAACAATCTGATACTGAGTCAAGAAAATGAAGTAGAATTAACCATATGTCGGCTTAAACCACTTAAAGGGACTTTTAGGAGCATCTTACAGAAAGAGACTGAGAGAAGGTAGAGCCACAAAAGGATTCAGGGAAAGGAATTACAAAGACTTGCAGAGTTTCCCAAAGTGGGGGTCAGGCCTGAGCTCTGAGGAATGACTGGCTGCTTGTGGAGCTCCAACAAAGTGATTAAGCTCAACCTTGTTTGCGGTCACAGCCTGCAGAACCCTACTCTTCACTATCGGGTCACAACCACTTTCTGACCTCGATATGGGTCACAGTGGGCAAAGGTTCAGAATGCACTGCTCCCAGGACTGCCAATGGTGAGTGAGTAGGGCTGAGATGTCAGAGGGTCAGGGCACCACTATATGTTGCAGATGGCATCATCCTCCATAATAGAAATACTGTCAGCTTTGACTGAATTTCTCACTGTAGCCCATAAAACGTCCATATAAATTGATATTCACGAATTTCAGAATTGTTAAACATGCAGTTTTATAGGGAATGACTCTCCCAAAGAGAGTGAATCAAATATAAGTGTAAAATATGGAATGACAATGACAGACAAACACCATGGATACCAGGCAGGCTGCGGATATGGATCTGACTGTGTGCAGAATGTGTTGTTTGCTCTATGTTAATAGACTATGTTGTTTGTCCTGGGCATGTGATCCTTCGCATGGAATAAACCTACAGTGGTAGTGTCCCTGGACTGGGCGGCCTGGGTTTAAGTCCCATCTGCTCTGGACGTGTGTAATAACTTCTCTGAACAGATTGACTGGAAAAAAAAGGTTAAATTGAAAAAAACACAGAACAATCAAGAGGGGCTTCACTATGTAAATCTAAGCAGCTGGGGCAGCATGGTGGCTCAGTGGTTAGCACTGCTGCCTCACAGCACTAGGGATCTGGGTTCAATATCACCCTCGGGCGACTGTCTGCGTGGAGTTTGCACATTGTCCCCCTGTCTGTGTGGGTTTCCTCTGGGTACTCTGGTTTCTTCCCACAGTCCAAAGATTTGCAGGTTAGGTAGATTGGCCATGCTAAATTGCCTGTAGTGTTCAGGGGTATGTAGTTTAGGTGGGGGATGGGTCTGGGTGGGATGATCCAAGGGTAGGTGTGGACTTGTTGGGCTGAAGGGCGTTTCCACACTGTAGGGATTCTATGATCTATGAACTTTAACCCAATTAGTAGAAAGTAGCAATGCTGGAAGATTTTGAGACAAGGTAGACAAACAGGAGGCTGGAAGAACACAGCAGACCAGGCAGCATCTGAAGTCCTGAAGAAGGGTAATACCCGAAAGGTTGACTGCTTCTTTCCTCCAGATGCTGCCTGGCCTGCTGTGTTCTTCCAGCCTCCTGTTTGTCTATCTTGGGTTCCAGCATCTGCAAGTTTTTTTCTGTCTCTAACCAAGATTTAAGACAATTCTGGCGGCCGTCGATTTCCAACTCCTCCCCATCCATGAAGCAGCCAAAGTGAGGCCAGACTGGGAGAATCTGACCTGATCCAGAGGCTAACAGAGAGAAAAAACACACACACCCAGGAAAACCCCGACCACTCTGCACGTACCGTGTTAAGCAAAAGCGAGCATCTCCAAGCCAACACAGGGAGAAAGCAGTTGGGGCTATCGAATCCGTTTCGATCTCAGAGAATACCGTGTCCTGCAGACATCTTGTTAGTTTGTTCATGCGAGGAGCGCAGAGAGAGAGACAATGTCATTTTTGTAAAAGGGGCAATTACATTGTGTCCACCCCCAGATATGTAGCATTCACATTCATTAATAAATCCATTCCGAGTTTCAACACTGTGTATGTTCTAAAAGATTAGGGCGTGGTCTCGCTTATTTATTTGATCAAATAGTGGCATTGGCAGTGTTTCATTGCACCATTTTGTTTGCAAAGTATAAAGGTTTTACTGTTTTCAGATCGCTTGTATTGAGACAAAATTGTCAGGGCCAATATTTTCGCCAGTCTCTGGGCCAGCAGTGAGCAGTACTGGGGGCTACAAGCGAGTCCTCCTGTAGCTGCACAGCGACACCCCCAGTTCCTACGGGCGGAATGAAAAGGTTGCGAGTAGCCGGGTGGGCGCAGTGTTTTGCTTTATTTACAAATTGGACAGAGCTGTACAACTCTGCGGAATTGACAGTCAAGTTTACCGCATTGCTGGATGGGTGAGGGGAGCTCGGGGATACCGTGAACGCTACAGCCAAGTCGCTAAGCTGCAGCCACTGGTTTCTGGAGCTAGTGTTGACTCGCAGGTGGAATCGCAGAGACTTTTTTTTGGCAACGCACATTATTAGAAAGTCCATCACTTCAGTTTGAAAAGAGGAGAAAAAGAAGTGCGAATCTCAGCAAAATCACCACTTCCCAATAAAAGGCTGGAGAGGAGTCGTCGCTCTTTCCCATCCCAGACTCTTGAGGGGAGGTGGCAAGGCACAAAGAGCTTCAGAGCTGCAGGCACTGGCCTTTTGTTGTCAGCCTCTGGTTTGATTTCTCCCTATGCTCAGTCTGCAGCCTGAGCTCTGACTGACACCTTGTAAGAGCTGACACTGTTCCCATAATGAACTCCAAATGTCAGAGAGGCGGAGGGAAAAAATACAATCCAACAACTGCTCTCTATAAGAGGGCAGTCTGCTGGCTATGTATCATGGCTGATGGTTTATATTTATGTGCGGGGGGTGGGCGGGTAGGCAGTCCTAACATTTTAAATATATGTTGCACTATCGTCACTGGAAGAGAGGGAGAGATATATTACGCGCACAAAAACATTGTAGCACATTATAAAAAATGCGACTCACCGCCAATATGGTTTGTCTTGTCAACGGGGTTTCTTCGCCATCACTTCAGGGACTGGGCTGGGGTGGGGTGTGGTGTGGAGACTTAAAATGCCAGGAGAGGTTGAGTAGTTGGCGTCCTGAACTGCAGCCTCCCCACACAGGCAGCGCTGGAGGGAGAGCTCTGTAAATCCTCTGAAGGATTTCAAAGGCTCTGGGAAACGGTCTCTTGAGCTTATGGTTGTGCCATGCTTCGCTGTAGCAAAAGAGAATGCGGGCGCCCGGAGCAAAGACGTATTTTCAACTGAGACACTTCGGGATAGTCCCGGAGAAGTTTTAACACTGGATCTCACGGGATGGTATTCAGTGCAGCAGAGGGGCAAGTGGGTCTACGTGCACGTGGTCTCTCTTTACATCAAGGAGAGTGTCTCAGGAAACCCCCGCCAATCAATAGGGACCAAGGGGTTGGGGGATGTTGGTGTTAGCTCAGGGAACCATAGTTCCACACAAACTATTGGCTCCGCCAAAGCTGATTGGCAGGCGTTTGGGCTTATTAACTGAACGGTTCATGGTATTGAAGACACAATCTGACAAACCAAAGAGGTAGAGGTACATGGGCAAGTGGGATTGCGTCTGCCAGAGGCAGAGTGCAGGAGGGACTGTGTCAGCAAGAGTTAGAGGTACAGGGGTCCAGAGAGACCATGTCTTATGAGGAAAGCTGGGACAATCTGGGCTTGTTTCCACCAGACTTGCGAAAAGTGAGGGAGTGATCTCATAAAGTGTGCAATGGTTTGGACAAAGTACATGTGGAAAGGTTATGTGCTTTTGAGGACTGAAACTAAATCTAGGAGGCACTATTTCAAAATTAGGGTTTGGCCTTTAGCACAGAGATGAGGGAGATATTTTCTCTCAGAGGGTTGTGGAACTTTAGAACATTGCCTTGGAAGGAAGTGGGGGAGCAGATCATTAAGTGCAGAGGCAGATAGATTCTTGTTAAGCAGAGAATTGAGAGCTATCAGACATGTGTATATATGTGTCTCTGTGTAAATGTGTGTGTGGCACTGTGGTAGGAGCAATGCATGAGCCTGGACAGTGAACTGGCTTTAGACTCTGAGTAACCCTGTGGGATTGATCCAGAAGAACATGATCAGAAAACCTGTAGCTGCAGGTTGCAGTTGAGTGGTAACATAATGTTACTTTTCATTAACCTTGTTTTCTTTCAGTTTCTCCTATTTTACTCGGGGTCACCACAATGCTGAAAGATCACCTTTCCCCATCCAGTCCTGTCAGTCAATCCATTCCTCTCCCAATCCTGCTACATGAAATCTCTTGCCACCACAACCTTCTCTCTGGTCTGAGGCCCTCTTCCTTCCTGGCTGTCACATCTCATCGCCTACCTCATCACATTTCTTCTCCTTCTGCAACAGAGGACCTGACCATTTCAGTCTCTTCTTCATAATTTTCTTCAATGCTTCCACAATCTTCACTGACCTCACTAAGAACATAGAACACTACAGCACAGTACAGGCCTTTTGGCCCACGATGTTGTGCCGACCTATTATCCTACTAAGATCAAACTACTCTGCATACCCTACATTATACTACCATCCATGTGCCTATCCAAGAGTCGCTTAAAAGTCTCTAAAGTATCTGACTCCATTACCACTGCCGGCAGGGCATTCAACATGCCCACCACTCTCTGTGTAAAGAACCTACCTCTGACATCTCCCCTTTACCTTCCTCCAATCACCTTAAAATTATGCCCCCTTGTAATAGTCATTTCCGTCCTGGGAAAAAAGTCGCTGGCTATCCACTCTATCAATGCCTCTCATCATCTTGTACGCCTCTACCAAGTCACCTCTCGTCCTTCTTCGCTCCAAAGAGAAAAGCCCTAGCTCCCTCAACCTTTCCTCATAAGACCTGCTCTCCAGTCCAGGCAGCATCCTGGTAAATCTCCTCTGCTCCCTCTCTAAAGCTTCCACATCTTTCCTATAATGAGAAAGTTATAACTTATCCAAATTATAACTAAGTTTATAACATAAACCAAAATAACAATTTATTATTATATATATATAATTATATAACATTTATTAGCATACCTTTGGCAGAACACAGATAAAAAGAAGGTAACCGAATTAATATCTACGATCTAAAAGCCCAGTCTTTGATCATAGCCCTCACTCAGACACAGGCAGACTGACAGACAGACAGTTAGGGATAAATTAAAAAATAAGAGAATTGTATTTAGCCATTCAATAACTGTTTTAAACAATTGACACGAGACCGTCATGAAATCCTTGGAAAATGGGTTGTTCTCAGGCAAGTATAACCATATATCTTGCTTGAATTCCAAAGTCATCAATTACTGCAAATAGTCTCAGCATATTTCTAGAAACATTTACGTTTTTCTCAGAATCTTAGACAATTTGATAACTGGAGAGAGAGAGTAATACCAAACAGCACCACCTCTGGAAGCCTCAAAAAAAAAATCACACAGCCTCCTGCCAAAACACAGTTAGTTTTCCCTTTATTGACTATTTCAACATCTAACCAGCTGCCAGCCCTGAGAAAAAAATGGTAGGAGTGGTGTACAGACTCCCAAACAGTAGCCACTCTGTACAAAAGGCTATAAATCAACAAATAATAGAACCATGTAAAAAAAAAGTGATAATTATGGGTGACTTTAGTCTTCATGTTAATTGGGTTAATCAAGTTGGAAAGGGTAACTATGACAAAAAAATACATAGTGTGCATTAGAGATAGTTTCCTAAAGCAATATGTCATAGACCCAACCAGGGAGCCGTCCGTCTTCGATCTGGTAATTGTGATGATGCAAGTTTAATAAATGACTTCAATAAAAAAGATCCCTTAGGAAGTAACGATAGTAACATGATAGAATTCAATGTTCAGTTGAGGAGTGAAAAATGTGGGTTGGAAACAATTGTGTTTAACTTAGATAAAGAGAATTACAATGAAATGAGCATAGAGTTAGCTAAAGTGCACTGCGCAGACAGATTAGCAGGAAAGAAAGTAAAAAAGCAATGGCAGATGTTTTAGGGAGGTAATTCGTGAATCTTAGCAAAAGTATATCCCAGTAAGGAGAAAGGATTCTAAGGGAGGAATAAACTATCTGTGGCTAACCAAGGAAATTAATGAGAGTATTAAGTTCAAAGATAAAGCATTTAAGGAAAACAAAATTCAATGATAGCCCGAAAGACTGGGATAAATTCAGAAATGAACACAGAAGGGCTGAAAAGATAATTAAGAGAGGGAAAATAAACTATGAGGCAACCTAGCAAGGAATATAAAAACAGACAATTACAGTTTCTTTGAATATATTGGAAGAGGGAGGTCAAAATGAACATAAGCCATTTAGAAAATGAATCTGGGGCAATAGTTATTGGGATCAAAGAAATGGCACAGGAAGTAAATAGATATTTTTCATCAGTCTTTACAGTGGAAGATACTTTGAACATTCCATTGATACTAAAGAATACAGAGGAAGAATTAAGTACCATTAACATCAATAGAGAAGTAGTACTGAATAAATTAATGGGGCTAAAGGCAGATCAGTGCCTTGGCCCTGATGGCTTATATCCTAGAATCCTAAAGAAGTAGGTACAGTGGTAGGGGATACATTGGCTGCCATTTTCCAAAGATCATTGGATTCTGGATTAATACTGGAGGGTGGGAAAGCTGCTAATGTGACATTGCTATTCAGAAAGGGAGGGAGGCAAAAAGCGGGTAGCTATAGGCTGATTATCCTAACATCTTTTGTTGGAAAAATGTAGGAATCAATTATTAAGGTAGTAATTTCAGAACATTTGGAAAAGCATTACCTAATCAAGCAGAACCAGCATGGCTTCATGAAAGGGAAATTGTGTCTGATTAATTTGAGTTTTGTGACGAATCTCAACCAGAGTGGATAGAGGGGAACCAGTAGATGTGTTGTATTTGGAGAAGGCATTTGACAAGATACCTCACAAAAAGTTAAGTCATAAGATAAGCCCACAGTGTTTGAGATAGTATATCAGCATGGATAGAGAATTGGCTAAAGAACAGGAAACAGCAAATAGTGGTAGGGAGTTCTTTTTCAGGTTGATGATGTGTAACCATTGGGGTTCCAAAGGGATCAGAGCTGGGACCTTTTCTCAATTTATATTAATGACTTGGAGGAAGGAACTAATATACTATAGCCAAATTTGGAGACAACACAAAAATACTTGAACAGACAAGTTGCAAGGGAGCTACAAAAAGTTGCAGAAAGATATTGATAGGTTAAGCAAAAGGGCAAAATTTTGCCAAAGTCCAAATGTGAAGTGATTTTGGAAGAGAGAACAAAAGAACAGAATATTATTTAAGTGGAGAAAAACTACAGCAAGCTGCACCACAAAGGGATCTGGGGGAACTTGTGCACGAAACACAGAAAGCTAGCACATAGGTGCAGCAGGTAATCAGGAAGGCTAATGGAGTGTTGGCTCTTATTTCAAAGGTGTTGGAGTATAAGAGTAGAGAAGTCCTACTGTAACTACAAGGTGCTGGTGAGACCGCATCTGGTGCACTGTGAGCAGTTTTTGTCCCATTATTTAAGGAATATATCATTTCATTGGATGCAGTTCAGAGAAGGTTCACTAGGATGATTTCGTCTGGAGGGATTGTCTTATGAACAAAGGTTAAACACGTTGGGACTCTACTCAATGGAATTTAGAAGAATGAGACATCTCATTGAAACATATAGGTATCATAAAGAGTTTGACAGAGTAAATGCTGAGAGGATGTTTCTCTTCATGGGAGAGTCTAGGACAGGAGGACATGATCTCTGAATTAAAGTGTTCCAATTTAAGGCTGAGATGAGGAGGAATTTCTTCTCTTTGAGGGTTGAGAGTCTTTGAAACTATTTGCCACAGAGGCCTGTGAGGGAAGAGTCCTTATGTATATTTAAGGCTGAGATAGATAGATTCTTGGTCAGTAGGGAAATCAAAGGTTATGGGGAAAGGGCAAGAAAGTGGACGTGAAGAATTTCAGTTCAATCACAATCCTATTGAATGATGCAGCAGCCTCAATGGGCCAAATGCCCTACTCATGTTACTATTTCCTGTGGTCTTACAGAACAACTCAGTGCTGATTTGTCTACAGTGTCCTTAGATCAGTAATTAAGTTACATTATCTTTCCTGACCAGTTTCTAACAGAAAATATCTGTTTTTGTTCTTTTCTGTTTTAAAACAAGCCATTGTTCAAAGTTCAATTTTTAACTTCAACTCACCCAAACCAACACTTTTGAAAAATAAAAGAAAACTACTGATGACCTCCACAAAGAAGAATGAGAGGAGATCTAATTGAAACCTACAGAATACTGAATGGCCTGGACAGAGTGGATGTTGGGAAGATGTTTTCATTTG